AATCATTTTAGGTGTGGCACCATTTGCAGCTCCCATCAAATTTCCATTCCGCTTGCTCCCACACCTTTGTACCCAGGTCCCCGAATTCTACCTTTTGTCTCTATACATCCACTCTCCTGAGCCAAGCCTCCAGAATCCTGACATGCATTTCCCACTGCTCAGTGCATCCAACGTATCCTGGGAAAAAAATCACCGTACATGGACGTCTCCAGTCAGTGTATGAAATATTCCAGGACATAGAGTTTGGAAGAAGGAGGTCTGTTTCTTGGGAGCCCTTGCCCTTGCTCACTTGACTCTTCTTTTTTCCTAATAAGCTCCAAAACATGGGTATGGGAGCTCCTCTCTGAGATTTGGTGGGCAAATCCCCCCAGCCCTCAACTCACAAACTTGTGCCAAGATGTTGTTGCTAGATTCGATCACTTCACTTCCGTCATTTGCTGGGTGGTCATCTGTCTTTCCTGAAGTCCTTGCTATTCAGTCTCTTTTTATCCACATAAAACCCCCAGGGCATTTGGTGGGAGATGGCGTTATGCTTTAATTAGCAAAACAGAGTCAATACAGAGAAGGTGTTGAGTGGGACCTTATTAGCACAGAGCAAGTCCAAGGCAAATAGATACACAAACGACCCTTCAGTCTACCTATGGACAGACTCAAATGCGTCAGATAGACTCAAGACTTGGGTCTGTTTGGGTGGCCAGAACTGCGATAAGGTACACAGTGCTCCTCCTAGCTTAGGAGGACGTACTGCTCATATCAAAGAAAATCCAATACTTGGGAATGGGAGAGTATCAAAGGAAAGAGTCTGTGATATGGCCAACATGTAGTTCCTGGGCAGAACTTACAGATCTGCCACAACCCAAATCACCATTAAGTTCTAGGCCTTTGGACGTTGTTTTTCTGCTCCTCTAGCCCTGGTCCCAGGCCACAACCTCCTCTCCCCCTCCCCAAGTAAGAAGAGGCCACATAAAAGAGCTGTCAGCCAGGTACTGCAGACACTCAACTCAGCACCTTGAGAGGTAAGTGTGGGTAAGGGTCTGGAGGCAGGAGCTTTAATCTGTGGCTTGTTTGGATGAGTCCTCTGCCCAGGTGGTGTCAACACTATTCCTGTGAGATGGAGATTATTGTCTCTGGTGTTCTTATAAGAAAATTGAGACAGAGGTGACACACCTGTCTGAGCCCTTGGAATGTGGAGTGGACATGAAACAAGGTACCAGTATTCCTGGTAAAAGGGGCAGACATGAAACAAGGTACCAGTATTCCTGACTCTAAGTCCAAAACTTTCTCCTCTTTAACATTATCTGGAAAGCCCCAGGATGTTGAATTCTGAGGGGAGCAGTCTTTCTGTGTCTTTGTGATGCCTAGGGGCCTTGTCATTGTCCGACACTCTATCTCAAGATGACCAAAGAATTCACCCAGAATTCTGTATGTGAGTGGTACCCAGCCTGGGTGTGATTATATTTCTCTTCTCTGGCTCAGTTAGTGCACCTGAAGTGTGCAAAGAAGGGCATTGGGCATGCGCAGGATCCTAAGTACCCTTTAAGGGAGGAACTCAGAAAACTGGACTAAGAGTAAGGCCTTTTTTCATTGAACATATCTCAAAGTTTTGGAAAACTTAGATCTAGAATGATATTTTTAGATATAAATAAATAGCTTCATGGCACCCATGGCTTTGGATTTACAGTGTTTCTGTCAGTGTGCACCAGTCTTCCTCCTTCTTTGTGCAAAGGCAGTGTCCAGGACTCCAGCCCACCCCAGTGCATGCTCACCTTCACCCAGCTACCTCCTACCTTGTATCGCCACCTGTAAGTGGATGACAGAGCACCTGCATTGCTCATCTGCCTTGCTATGCACTGCTGCCTTCAGAGGATCACAAGAATACTCTGAGCCAGGCTCAAGAACTGGGTATCCAGGGTGCCTGGGTGGCTCAGTCGTTAAGCGTCTGCCTTCGGCTCAGGTCATGATCCCGGGCTCCTGGGATCGAGTCCCACGTCAGACTCCCTGCTCGGCAGGAAGCCTGCTTCTCCCTCTCCCACTCCCCCTGCTTGTGTCTCTGCTCTCGCTATCTCTCTCTCTGTCAAATAAATAAAATAAATCTTAAAAAAAAAAAAAAAAAGAACTGGGTATCCTGCCACCTCAAACTGGCTTTCTGGGGCAAACTATGTGAGTGATTTATAGGATTTCTGGCAACCTACCATGCTCAGTGATAGTTCACCTTTGGCCTGGAACTTCACCAATGAGGTTTTATCCTTTGGTAAATATTGCGCAATGGTAAATGAAGTCTCAATACCTTCACTTGACAGTTTTCCTTCATCAAGCCATGCTGAGGCCAGCTGGCAGGGACACGGGTTCTGAATGGAGAAAGTTGGAGAACAGATGTAAGCATCTAAGATGGAAGCTCCCCAACATCTGATCTTTTACATTTTAAAGGCTTCTCTCCTCCTTTGCTTTCTCTCCATAATCTCCTTCTCTTGTTCTTCTCCTCAGGTCTCCTAAATCCAACCTGCTCAAAGTCAATGTGTCTAAGATTCACATGCCTAAAACTTGCTTGTTTCCAGCTTCTAAATTTCACTTCTTCTGAAAGGAGAATAAGCTTTCAAAGCCCCCTTTGAAAAATTTTGCACCTTTTAAATGATCTCTAGTAGGACACTTGCTTTTGAGCAGAGGAATTTGGGTTGATTCTTCTAGAGCAGCGTTGTTCACTAGAACTTTCAGGGATGATGGAAATGTTGTATGTCTGAGCTGTCTAATATAATAGCCGCTAGCTACATGTGGCTACTGAATGCTTGAAATGACTAGAAGCCGAATTTTAAATTTAACTAAAATTGTCACATGTGGGTAGTGGCTACCATATTGGACAGTGCAGAGGAGGCTCTTCTGCCTGGTGGAAAATATCGGAAGAAATACAAAGACTTCCAGGGAGAAGGACAATCACTGCCTTGTGACCATGTAATTCATAACATTGGAATTTTACTCTTTTCTTGGGCTCTTTCTTTCCCCCCCTTCCTCTTTGGTTTTAGGATGGTAAAGCAGCAGATAAAGGTAAAGGGGACAGATGGGAGAGCTCTGGGAATTTTGAGTGGTAATTAAAGCTCCTCCTTCCTTGTCCCACCTTCCCCCACCCCTCAGCTGCCAGTTGTCAGCCGGGTATATCCTCTTCTGCTTCATTGTTTTCGCCTTAATAATTACTACTATCTATGGGGAAATGATTATGATAGTGATAGCTGAATTATTGTCATTACTTGTATGAGGTGATCATATTATTTTGTCTCTCCCACCTGTCTATTTTATTCAGATTGGTTAGTTGTTTCCTTGCCTCTTCAAGAAAACTTAGGTAGGTCCCCAAATTTTGTGTGACTCTTCAGTCGCAAAACATCTCAACTTAATAATCAAATGCGCAGGCCCATGTAATTAGCCACAACTCCACAACTGTTGAGAACTGAGGGCTCTCCCCTCCCTCAGAAGCTCTAGTTGTGGAAAAGGGTCAGTATCTCCATCTTGGGCTCTTCGTGATTCTGTTCCTTCACCCCCATCTGGCTATAAAAAGTTTCTGTCTCGGGCACCTGGGCGGCTCAGTCAGTTAAGTGTCTGCCTTCAGCTCAGGTCATGATCCCAGGGTCCTGGGATCGAGTCCCACACTGGGCTCCCTGCTCAGCAGGGAGTCTGCTTCTCCCTCTCCCTCTGCTGTTCTCTCTCTCTCTCTGTCAAATAAACAAACAAAATCTTAAAAAAAAAAAAAAAGTTTCTGTTTCCTAGGTAGTAGAGGCAGGAAGAACCAATAAGCAGGAGTAGGACAGTTCTCACACAGTACGTACTCTCATAAGCTGACTTGGTGCTTCTGGCACTCTTTCATGGGAGATTTCAAGGGTTCACTGCAGACAGAAAATGGCATCTGGCCATTTACAATTCAGATGTGCCCGAACTGCAGCTCTCTTCTTTGGTACTATAGGCCACTTTAGAGCCTTCAGTCATGACTCAGGTCTACAGGATCCTTACAGATTTCTGGAGACACACAGTAAACTCTATGAGTAGTACCCACAAAGCCTTTTATCTCAACTTGGAATTAGAAGACAGCTTCCCCACTTACTCAAACAGAGCTTTTTCGCAATAGAATCTTCAAAACCCTCTCTACAATTCATTCAACTTCGGATCATCTATTTAGATGAAAGTTTTAAGAGTCCCCTGACCAGTTCGTTTCTGACCATCAACTTTCTCAAGTCCTACGTAGTAACCCATGTCACATAACTCACTCTGGAATCACTCTGGTACTCTGACTTAGGGTCTGAACTAACAATTCCATTATATTATCCTATTACATATGTTCTTAAGTGAACAAATCAGGGCACTTGATGGGTTCTGTTATTCCAAGTTCGTAAAAATAATGAGTACAACAAAAAGGGACATACATACACTGGTTATCCCTCGGGGGTGGAATTCCTAATGCGTATCCACTTCCTTGACGTGTTTCATTTTTGTTTTTGACAAACGATACAAGCTGAAGATTTATTACTTTTTAATCAGAAAAAAGCCATGCATTCTCAAAAGAAATAATTTTTTTAAAGATTTTATTTATTTATTTACTTGAGAGAGAGAGAGAAAGAGAAACAGCATGAGAGGGGATAGGGTCAGAGGGAGAAGCAGGCTCTCCGCCGACCTGGGAGCCCGATGTGGGACTCGATCCCAGGACTCCGGGATCATGACCTGAGCCGAAGGCAGTTGCTTAACCAACTGAGCCACCCAGGCGCCCTCAAAAGAAATTATTTTGCAAAGGAAGTGGCATGTAATTTGAGAGGGGGAAGTAGCCTGAGGAAGCCAATGGCTAGCTTGACATGTTGTTAGGTGCCAGAGGGTGAAAAGTAAAAGAAGGGGAAAGAATAATCGAATATTCACAAGCACTTTCTCTCTCTGACCTTATTCACCTTAATTCCTGTTCTACCCATAGCGGCATTGGGAGAAGACCTGTCTTCTGCCAGAACTCAACCCAAACACACAGAGAGATGACCATGAAGCCCTGGGTTCTCCTACTCATCATGCTCATCTATGGGGTTGTGATGCTTCCGCCTGTGCTGGGAGGCCTCAAGAACGAGACTTTTTGTAGGTGGTATGACATGGGAGGAGGGGGCTCTGCCCAAGCCTGGCATGTCTGGGGTAAGTGATTCTGGGACCACCTTTCCTGGATCACAACGCTCCTTAAAGCAGAGACATCCAAGAAAGATTTCTGTTGGGTGTTCCGAATTTGGTGCCCCTCCATGCTCCCCCTTGGAGCTCTGACAACAATAATGGGTATACAGAAAGGGAACATAGCTTAATCTATAAGTCCATCCCATAAGCTAGCAAGAAATGATATTTTCCAATGTTAGGCTACCTTAGACAGGGGAAACACCAACACAGAGCTTTCCTCTGAGCCCATATTTTCAGATCTCTGTGCCTTTGATGAATTCCAATAGGGCAATATTATTTACTTGGAAGGGAAAAATCTTTTAGAATATGAAAAAGTGGAAAAGACAAAAAAGGGATCCTTAGGAGTCAAAGTTTGGGGTCAGATGATTAAATGGGGATAATGAAGGGAGGGTTATGGGCCAGTGAAAGAGATGGAATTTGGGGAGAGGCTGAGTGCTTAGCAGGTATGAGTAGAGAAGCAAATAGACAAGGGAGAAAATAGGTACCCATTCTCCCCCAGCTCAGTTTTCCATTCTGTAAATTGGGTATGGAAAGTGGAGCTAGACAATACTGCCATCCCTGAAATCCCAAGTCCAGTGAGAATAGACTTGGTGAGGTGGTGCCATAGATGGTGAGGTTGTCCTGGGTCCTATCTTTAGGGAGCTTGGGGAGGGCCCAAAGGCCTGCAGTTCTGTGGGGACATGTGAAAAGAGGGAAGGCATGTGATGTAAGAAGGGTCTCCTGTGAGAAGACACAGCTAAAAGTCAAGGAAAAGAATTTCTTAAAATGTAGAGAAACATTTTGTTTATGACTTTGAGCTCAGGTTTCAGAGCTAGGGGAATGTTAAGCTTGAGAAGCATTTCTTCTCTAAGACGTGGGTGGATGGATCGACCATCTACCATCATCTACCATCTACCATCTACCATCTACCATCTCAGTTCCAGCTGGAAGAATAGTCACTGAGCAGTGCTGGGTACAGCCTCCATTAAAGTATTGTGAGAAGAGGTGCACTAAATTACAAGAGTGTTTATCTCCCAATCATACATGCTGTTGGACCTTCTGTGGAAACATCTGCTTGGACAATAGGTGAGTTGGTTAGAGTGGGATGTTCGGGCGTGGACATGCTTCCTCACTACTGGTCAGAAGCTGTGACATGGAATAGATATACCCAAATCCTGCTCAAAGAAACAGGCAGGATAAGGCAATGTCCTCCTATCTCCATACCTAGCTGCCATTCGGGGCAAAAAACCCAAGACACCAATGTGGGGTGGGGGGTCTCCATCCTTTGCTTTCCATCCTTTGCTTTCATTCAGTTCCCCCAAAGGCTCACCCATCAGTTTCTTCATCCCTCTTTTGTCCAAGGCCATGACTATTGCCTCCTTGGTCTGGCGTCTCCATTGGCTCCTTGTCTCAGGCAGGCCCAAAGAGACCCCATCTCCACCTATCTGCCCAGTTGGCAAATCTCTTGGGAGAAATAGTTTAAAATGGGTAACTCCTGATAGTACAGAAAAAAAAATTCTGTTCCCATTGACAGGGACCAGGGTGCTATTAAGTTTGGGAATGGAGGTCTCCAGGATTCCCCAACTTTTTTTTTTTTTTAAGATTTTATTTATTTGACAGAGACACAGTGAGAGAGGGAACACAAGCAGGGGGAGTGGGAGAGGGAGAAGCAGGCTTCCCGCCGAGCAGGGAGCCCGATGCGGGACTCGATCCAGGGACTCCAGGATCACGACCTGAGCCGAAGGCAGACGCTTAACGACTGAGCCACCCAGGCGCCCCCAGGATTCCCCGACTTTTAACCACTTGACTTGTCTCTTCCAGAGAACCCTTTAAATCCATGCTAAACCCCTAGGTTCTAGCTGGCACACCACTAGTGTGGGCTAGAGGATGACTATGTAGTCTAAGAAGTAAGAAGAGTGCTTCCTGGACCCCTGTTCGGTTATTCACTTGCCTGGCTGAGGACCCTTCATTATCCCCTTGATCTCTCTACCCTGAGAAAGCTCAGGTCTCTGCCAAATAAACTGATAACCAACCTGAGGGCTCTGCATTGTGTCATACTCCATTCCTGTGGTTCCTTTCTGTCTTTACAATGACCAATGGTTGTTCCCATCCAACTCTGCCTTCCCTGTTAGACCTATATATTAGTCAATAGACTCACATCTGTAGCAAAAAATGCAGAGATTTATAAAAACCTCACTAAACAGCATAAAAGTTTATTCTCATTCACAATACATTTCACTGTGGGTGGTCGGTGAACGACCCCCATGCCATGCATGAGTCAAGGACGCTGAATCCTTCTATCTATAACTCATCCTCTCCCAGGGACTCCACCGCATCCAGCCAGCAGATGGGAGAAGAACAGGCAGCATGGAGGCTCCTACAGAAGGGTTTTAATGGCCAGGCCTAGAAGTGGGGCTCTGTTTCCATCCACATTCTATTTGCCCTAATGTAGTCAGAGGGTTGCCTTATTTGCAAAGGAGACTGGGAAATACAGTCTAGCTGTATGCCCAAGGACAACAGAAGGCAGGATTTGGTGAACCCATGGTGGTCCCTGAACTGTATACTTATGCAAAGCCAAACGCCTCAGCAAGACCCAAGACCCTGGCCTCCACATCACTAATCTAATGGAACAAGCACTGCCCCCGCCCAGCATGAGAGAAGGCATTCCTGCCCTCAAGGTGGGCACTCTGAGCTTCCAGAATGATTCCTCCTCCTGCAATATCCGTATCCGCTCATTCCCACCTGTTTTGTTTGCCTGGTAGTTTTACCTGGGTAATATTATTCATATCCTGAGCTGTCTGCTCATTCCAGGCAGGCTTTCCAGCCCCTACTGTTCCCCTAGATTATATTGAATTTCTACCATTAGTATCTTGAAGAACTTCCCTTGGATGAGGAGATTATAAGGTCCCTACAATGTATTCATATCTGTGCCCCTTCCTGGTCCAGAGAATGAGATATTCTCTTTTAGATGGGATGAGTCAGCATATCACACTTATCAACTGTAGACCCCATGGAAAGGTTCCAGAATGGGATACAGCCAAGACCAAGGCCAGGCAAGGGACTGAGGCCTAACAGAACACTGGTCAGTGTCCCAGAGCTCAGAGTAAGGAAAAGGCACAAGGACTCAGGGGCTCAGGTAAACATCCTTCAGGAGTGGGGCTTTGTCTTGACCTTCAGGGATAAAGAGCACTTGGAGCTCGATTGAGTGAAAGTGGCTATTCCTTCCTGACCAAAGAAGTAAGAGAAGAACAAGAGGTTAGGGACCCCCAGTGGAAGGACCAGGGAAGGAAAGCGTTGTCCACTTGAGGATCCTGGATATTACCGGGAAAGAAAAGCCATTTTTCCTCTGTCCTTCCGGGTTCTTGGTGGAGACCCCCTGCGATAAGAGACAGATTAGCAGGAGAAAAAGGAACAGAAGTTTACTAACATGTGTACCTCCACTCTACATGGGACAGACCCGGAAAACTCAAGTCACTGCCCCAAATGGTCCAAGCCGTCTTCTTCAATACCACCTTCAGCTAAAAACAAAAGATGTGGAAAGGAAGGAGAAGGCCAGTTTTGGGAGGTCACCAGGAAGGCACAGTGAACAATGGTATGGTTGTTATGCAGATTTCTGCCACAGGCTCCACTGATAAAGAGTTTCTAGAGGTTGAAAGTCATCCTTCTCTTCCACTTACAGAGAGACGGACACCCTTACAAATGGAGATTTCCCTCATCCACGTACATGTCTCTTATGAAGGGGAGCAAATTTTGCCAGGCCAAGTTCTGCCTCTTTAGCATATTGATTATTTGAAGCTGGTTATTTTTAAGAAACAGCAGACACAGGTGAAGCTCTGAAAACTGAGTAGAAGTTAACCTGTTTGTAAGAGACTGTCTAATGCAATCCTGGGTCATTGAGAGGTGGAAGGGAGAGAAGATGTGTTGCCCCAGGTGAGCAGTTGCTTAACTTTGGAGTTTTGACTTTCTTATTTCAAGGCATCTTCCCCGATTTTCCTCCCTTTGAACATCTGAAGGCCTTTTATTCAATTCATCCTGGGCATTCTGAAAAGGATGTCATTTTAAGGGGGACAGTTAGTTCCTTGACAATCAGAATATCAGAATTGTACACTTCGGGTCACCTCTTCTATTTCTTGTTCTACTTGGGACAGAAATGGGAGCACACTGGTAGTAAGAAGGTAGAGCCAAAGAACGCACCCCTAGCTGAAGCCGCTCATCCTAAGCATCCTGTAAGTAGTTGCTTTTCCTCCGTGGGGGCTCAGAAAGTCCTCGGCCTCTGCACCAGCGCTTCTGGGCTCCAGGGCCATACCTAGAAGCCCTGGGGACTTCCCTTCACCATCATGGTGGCCCTTCACACTCTCCTAGATTAGGGAGCCCGTTTCCTAGATCCCACCTCTCCCTCGTTCTTAACGACCTCATTTTGTAACATACACGCCACAGGAGCTTCCTGAGAGAGAACGTGAGAAATAAGTAAAATAGAGACTTCTTATGCCTCCATTCTACATTAATACCATTTTGGCTGGTATTTCAGGTTGGATAAGTTTCCGCTGTGTGATGATAGGAACAACAAAGAAAACAGTGGCTTAGATAAGACAGGTCCATCTTTGTTCACGTGGAAGATTCAGGTATTCGGGATCCAGAACACGTTTGGGGACAACACAAAACCATGGAAGATCCAGGCTCCTTCACCTTTTTGCTCCATTGTCCTTGACATGAAGTTTCCATTTCCAAGATCATCACCACCTCATGACCCACAAGGTCTAAGCAAGATATTAAATATGCCCCTCACCCGGGGCACCTGTGTGGCTCAGTCGCTGGGCGTCTGCCTTCAGCTCAGGTCATGATCCCAGGGTCCTGGGATCGAGCCCCGCATCGGGCTCCCTGCTCAGCGGGAAGCCTGCTTCTCCCTCTCCCGTTCCCCTGCTTGTGTTCCCTCTCTCGCTGTCTCTCTCTCTCTCTGTCAAAGAAATAAATAAAATCTTAAAAATATATATATATGCCCCTCACCCAAGAATAAAATTCAGACAGATTAAAAAGTTAAATCAAAGTAAGAAAATTTCAACCATAGCCAAACTAGAGGAAAATGGAATACAGTATTCCTCAAAACTGGAGGAGGAAAGGCTCTGTGGCCTTGATAATAAAATGGCACTGTGGTGCAGCATTTTAAAAAATATTAATCGAGCTCTTGTTTTTCTTTTTCTGCAATTCCTTGTTTTTCCATCAAGCCCTTTGAACATGAAATGAGGACATGAAGCTGAGGTTTTTTTCCCCCAGGGAAAAGGGATCACAAAATAAACCAGTGAGGATGGAGTCATGTTCATGGGTCTGAGGGCCAAAACAGTTTTGAAAGCCATTATTGCTCATTGAGAGGGAAAAGTTGTCGGTGGGAAGGAAGACACAGGAAGAGTGGGTTAGGAAGAAACGGAAACAGCCATATAGGTTTGGAAATCCCAGCACAGAAATGGGACCACCCGTTAAACAGGATATTTGTTTTTTGTTTTTATTATGTTATGTTAATCACCATACATTACATCATTAGTTTTTGCTGTGGTGTTAAACAGGGTATTTGAATATGATCTTTTGTTTTCTACTGCTGCTGTAACAAGTCATCACAAATTTAGGAGCTTAAGCCACACAAATCATTATCTTACAGTTCCCTAGGTCAGAAGTCCCACACAGGTCTCATGCCTTACAATCAAGGTGTCGGCAGGGCTGGGCTCCTTTTTGCGTTTGGTCTCTAGGAGGAAGGATCCATGTGTGTGTTCATTCAGATTGTTGCCAGAATTCAGAGCCTTGAAGATGTAAGACTGAGGTCTCCGTTTCCTTGCCGCTGTCGGCCGAGGGCCGTTTTCAGCTTCTAGAGGCCACTCACATGCTTCGGCATGGGCTCCATTCCTCCATCCTCAGAGCCAGCAAGGGTCAGCTGGGTCCTCACGCTTCAGATCTTAGCTTCTTCTGCTGCTCTCTAACCCACTGCAGCCAGGAAACTTACACTTAAGCAAGAGGTCTTATTCAGGCATCTTGCTGATGTCACTCCTGAAAAGGACCTTAAAAGATTTGAATGATATAAAATTAGTGTATTTACAAAAATTGTAAATTGAGTATGCCTTAAAAATGAAATGTGCTAGTATCATTCAGGAGCTAATTCTTGTGAAACACGAACAATGTTGGGGGAAATTCAGGCTTAGAATAAGTTGTTCCTCTTCAAATTTTGTAATCAGTTTTTAAAAGTCTCTGGTGATTTTTAAATTTTAATTTACTTACATTTATGGACACTCTTAAATGGCTTTTAAAATATACACAATACATACACAATAAATACATATGAATTTTCTATTGGGAAGTCAGTTCTAAAACTATCTATGAAAATGAACGACACTGTTATCTCTTTAGGTAATGGATAACTGATCGTATCTTATTAGTTTTCTTTGTACTTCTGTGTCTTTCAAATTTCTAAAATAAGAAGTGATAAATTATGAATTCATTTGTGCAATGAGAGAAGTAGAAAGCATAAGAGAAGGAAAGAACCTCAGGAAATAAAAATGCCCAACCAAGGAGTGGTGCATGGAGGAGAGGAGCAGTGAGAGACCAGTCACGTGTTCTCCCAACTCCACACCCCAAAGCCCTTCACTACCCCCTGCAGGACCTAGTAAAATCCTGGGTCTGGCAAAGGTTTCTGGGGGAACAGCTAGGTTTGGAAGGCTGTCTCAGCCTGACAGGGAAAAGTACAAGACAGTTCCTCCTCTTCTCTGGGACTCTGTTCTTCCCACCCTGTAAAATGAGAGCAGAAGACCAGAGGATCTCTTGGGCCTCTTTGTTCTGAGAACTGGGTCTCAGGATTCAGGTCCTGTGATG